TATGAAAATAGACAGAAGATTAAGTACTGGGGATCTACTCATTTTGAAGTTTTATAAAACATTTACATGTTTATAATATGTAAGTTAAATGATTTGAAATTTTCTGTTATTATCTGAGTACGCGTTCAAAATCATTCTCTGGTACTGCTTCGTTCCACTACAGTTGAAAACAAGTAATTTCATGGATAATATTTCAAGTTACGCATTTGTATGGATAGTTGTTGGTAATGAGAGAGCTAGCTAAGCCTCAGAGTGTTTTATAACAGCCTTAATAGGATAAATGTTTTACTACCCACAAAGCTTATGGACCTTAATAAATTTCGCTAATAGTTTACATAACTACAGTAGTGGTATACTAACAAACTTTGTTTTCGTGTATATTTTCTGTATGTATTTACAGCATAAAATTATTATTTTTCATTACTATCGTAGAGTTATTATTTTTTAAAAATGAGTATTATACAAATTGGAATAAATTAATAATTATAATTAACTACACATTTTTCATATGAATACCAAAAAAATTAAGTAAAATATGGTTACAGATCAAAACCATGTCCATTAATTTATTACAGTAATTACCTAGTGTTAAAATTATTTTGTTTTTGCCCAAAAACCAATTTCCTTTTGTGAACTATTATAATTTGTTTTAGCATAGTCGTAAATATTTCAAATGTCACAAAAACCGACATAGAAACTCCAAAATCTGTACTCACAAACAAGTTAGGAAGTAAAATGACTACAACATATGACTGATGTGTTTTCCGGAAAAACCACAACAACATTACAGTAAATCAACCTACAAAACTAATACACAACGAGTATTCATGGTTAATATGAATTAACGAGCAGAAATTTCAACACTTAAATATAAAATGAAATTATATTTTAATTATAACTATTTCTAAATGAACACTTGATGAGTTTTTAACAAATTCGTAACTTAAAAGAAATATTTAATGTTTCAGTTTCGGTTTGAAGCTGAAAAAGTATTAATTTTACTGTGATGTATGTTTTTTGTGTCTGTTGCCATTTTTTCTCAGTTCTCTCCAAAACTGATTTCAATCAACGATACGTTAAACGATCCCAAATTGTACCTAGTTGAAGATATTACCTTCAAATATCGAAAATATTTTCCTCGAAAATAAAAGAAATCCCCACAAAAATAACAATTTTAAAAATTGATAATTTTTTTATAGATACCTTAGATTTTTATCTACCATTTGGTATATTCTTTGTGAAAATTTGACTCTTTACTTGCCCACGGGGGGTGTTACTTCCAGTCTATAAAATTCCAAATATTTTGGTAACGTGTTACTGTATAAGTTATTTCTAAAAAAGTGACTTTTGGATTTAAAAATGGTAATAATCCACCAATTTCTTAAAATTAAACACTATCTACTAATTTGCGTCGAAGCGTTTCCTATGATAATGATTTTAATCATTGTTAGAAATCATCTAAAATTGTCTCAACTATACTACGTCCATACTGTACCACTACCCCACCTGTGCTATCGTTTTTATTGAATGCATTTAACTCGTAGATTTCTAAACATTCCATAATCAATGTGTCATTTAAATTATTCGAGCAAATAACATTTATATTACTTTGAAACTGTGGGCTATTTCTTATATGTATTATCTTTTGAGTGCTGTTTTTTCTTAAAGTCATTGATTAATTGTAACTATGTGTTATTATCTCAAATTCATAGAGAATAAATGACCAAGACCGCGAATTGAATAAGGAAGAAATTTACCGGGTCCGTTTCCATTGAACGAATCCGCAAAGCACAATTCCATCTTGCCCCAACTGTAATAGGAAACAGTCTTTGGATTTATTACCACAATCTATCAAATAGTCACCTCATGTCAGCCACCATAATTCCTTATTCGTTAAAGCTTTGTCTTCCGGGTTCTCACAACATTATATGAATCCCATTTAACTATACCGTATGTAGAAGCTACACTTTGCCTGCACTCGCCCTCTATTTTACCATTTCTTCATCTTCTTTAATGTGACAAAAGCTCGGACAAACGAGTTGTATTTATGAGATTCCATTATTTTTTGTCCTACAACAACAATACTTGACTTTACTACAAAGGTAAGCCTATTAAAATAGTCATTATTAGGGGCTATAGGGTATAATTTATAAATGAATCAACGTGATATTCTTCGGTAACACTCAAAATGATCAGATAAAATAATCTAGAATATTGATTAAAAAAAAAACAATAAAATAAGCAACTTATTATTAGTTTATGTAATCATATTTTCCTTTTATTAATTGTTTTTAATAATAATAATAATAAAAAAAAATGATAACACTTTCAGCAAGAATAAATGTTGAACTACAAGAGTTTTAATACATAGAGTGGTTATATAACGCGGATGGAGTAGGCATTATAATAAACATCAGTAGGTTGGGTGTGCTACTTACTCATCTATGTCTTAAAATATGCTTGTAACTCAATAAGTCTTTATTTTTGTCAACCCGTTAATTATTTTTTTAAGAAAACTACTAAAAACTGGCCATTATAAAATTAAAATAAAAAAATTTAACTTAAATATTTTTATTTAGAATAAAAAACCTTGTATGTTTAATTTTGAAGTATATATAAATAAATGAAATATACAAAATAAATGAATTACTAAATGTAAAGTTTAAATTATTTTATTACTATATCTGTTAACATTTTCGCGTTACCGTGTTTTTTAATATTTGAAAGTATGATTTTATGTTCAAAAATTTTGTTAAATAAGTAATATAGTAATCCGGAAGTATTAAATTTTTATACGAAAGTATCTAATAAACTGTGCGCGAAGGTAAGAAAACCACATGAATACCAATCATTGGTTGTGATATTAAGTGTTTTAAGATCGGGTTATAAAATGTGCTTCAGGGAAAATCTTAGAATATTCCGAGAAATACTAATTTAATACCAATTTACTAATTTAAAGATAATTGTTATTTCTCTATTTGAAATTTATTAATTTTTAGCGAAACTTATAAATAAACTACGTTATTTTCGCGAACTAGTTAATATTTTATTTTTAAAAATCATAGAAACTAGTTCTCATTCAAATAAATACTAAAACCAATTATTTATAATTTATAAAACAATTATATAATGTTTAATTTTTTGCGTAAAAATAAAAAAAAAATTTCTTTTTTCTATCGAATGGATGGATTTGATAGAATCTATCCATTCGATAGAAAAAAGTGTATTATTACAAATGATGAAATTTAGAATGACTACTAAATTAACACAATTATTAAGTGGGTAACAAAAGATATGGCTAAAGACTTAAGATTCACCTGTACTTGTTTTGATAAATTATCCATAATTCCCTACTAGTGGTATGATTAAAATGGGCTTTTAGAATTAAAAATTGGTGACTGTGAAGTAACGTAGAAAAAAAGTTACGACAAGAATTTTAGTTATGCAATTCAACGACTTTCTTCATCAAATTTAAAAAGTAAATTACGTTGAATGCTACCAACGATCTTTTAGTATAATCAAACGCTGAAGTTTTACTATTATTTGCCTACTTCAGGATAGCACAAACTCCTCGAGCCTGAGGAAAACCACCAACAACCGTTTGAACATCACGCAACTAGGGTGTTATAATGACACTGTGACTTGGGTTGGCTCTACTATGCACACTATAGATGTGGTTCGAGTCATGACAATGTGAATAGATACATACACACACTGTATAAAAAACTTGTAGCTCTATACTTATATGTCTTTTAACTATTAACGTCGTCTTGTAACGACGTTAATAGTTTTGAATAAGAATTTATCTTGAACATCGTTCAGCCGTTGAAGAAGACTATTACAGGAGAAAACGAGCGTATCTTAAATTGAAATAGGTTAGGATGTAAGAATTTATCTTTTAACTATCTAAAAACTCGTTTTAATACATTAATAGTTATAAATTACCCTAAACAATGTTTGTAGTTTTTATTGCAGAGAATTTCCCTTTTTGGATTCAATTTCAATAATAAAAGTTGAAAATAAAAGCAAATGTTTAAAAAAAAAAAAGCCAATAGTAGCCAATATAGTATAGTAATATGATGAAATTTTTATTAATTTATAAAATGTACATAATATCATTAAAGCATTTATTATTTTCCTCGACTGTGAATCGTTTACCACGATTATAAGGTAACATTACAAGATAATTGTAATGAACTCCGTTTTTTATTGAAACAGTTCAAAAGTTTTATGTGTTCAAAGGATCACCATTAAAACAAACTTCGTTTTCTACAAGACATTAGATTGACAGTTTTTTTCTTGTAAATAAAATAAAGAAGAGTGACAATTCTAGCTACTAAGAAGAAATTTTAAGACAAACAAGTAAAAAGGAAGAAGGTTTACTAAGTGCACATCTATGTTATTCCGTCCGGCAACATTAACGAATCTCAGTTGTAATGTAGTCCTTTGGCGAAGTTTATTCGAATAATACTTTGTAGAGACGTGTTTGTGTTATTAATCATTATTATACCTATCTTTCCATTTTATAATTCCCATTATAATAAAATGTGTAGTTTTTACAAATCATCTTTGTTAGGAATTTGATTAATATCAAATAATATGCCAGTGTTTAAATATATTGAGTCACAAATTTTTGAATACTAAATAACGAACCTCTTATCTGAAATACTTCATTAACAAAATCTACTTATACGCACTATTTTATTCACGAATTGAATAAAATTTCATTTAGATTTTATGTTTTGTTTTATTTGAATTTCTATTATGATTAACCAGTGAATTTGTATACACTGTCAATGGTTGATCGCGAATTTTTTGGGTATGAGATGAGATCAGCAGTTAGAGTCATCATTTTTTTCGGCTGGAGGAAAGACAGTTCTCGGAGCAGGCACAAATGGCCTTTAATGGTTGTTTAAACATAAAAAATAATACAATGATTCATGGAAACACTATATAAATAAACTCAACAGTGCCTAACGTAAAACTGTATTTGTCCTTAGGAAACATCTGTGCTGATTAAATCAATTAATGAATGATTAATTCAACCATAATAGTTCACAAAATTCAATTCTATGGTCTAATCGACTAGATGAATCGGTCGCGTGGATGAATTATAGTCTATAGACCTCAGTGAGTAATCTATTTTGTAATAATATATTGAAATAACTGCAGTAGAAAATCAGCGGGTTCAATACATCATCATATTAATATGATCATTTGAGTACGTTTGATCGTTTACACGTAATGCAAGTAGTTGGCCTGATGGGAATTCAATATATCAGTTATATTTGAGTCTCAAAATTTCTATTAATTTAAATTCAATAAAGATTAGTTAGATAAATTGTATAAATTGATTGTACTCGACGTTGACGATAGTAATTTAATTTGATTTTAAAATAACTATGTTAACATTTGGGTCATATACACTGTTATCAATACATAACGTCAACATCCGTCACATAGCGCTTAATAAAATCTAGTTCTTTAATTGTTATTCTCGTACTATCACGTTAATGATACTAATGAATAAAGGTATCTATATATATATATTCAGTATTTAGCAGTCAGAAAACTTCCAGTGGTCCTCTTAATTAAATTACAAATCTTCTTAACACTTCGTTGCTGCAAAATAATTTATTTCAACAACATTCAAAATAATTTTAACAAATTACTGTGTATACTTTTTCACAAATGAGATGTACCTTGCAAAATGCATTTATTTTAAATAAAAAGTGATCCTAAGCTAAACTATTGTAGCATACTTTTTTAGTAAAATTCATTCCATTGAAAATATTAAAAAACCTACTTATGGATATTGAAAAATATAAGATTATTCAGATAATAAGCTAAGTTTATATCAATAGATAAATTATTAAAATTTATTTCTTTAAGTATACTTATTACTATAAATTATCTTCATAAATACGAAAATCCAATATATTGTAAGCTCATGATTATAAGTGTCATGAAATTCAAATTATAAGATTTAGACAATAGAAAGTTCTCTATAAGTTCAGTATAACCATCAGAATTGGAATAAATTACTCAATAGTCAATATTGTAGGAATTATTAATGATGGAAAATACTGAATATAATTATTGAACTATATAGTCTTTCAATAACTATTCAAGTAAAAAATATATATTCGACAGTTATACAAACTGTTCGATAATGTTATTCGAATTGAATTAAAAAGTATTCGGTTATTTTTTTAAATGTTCAATAGTTTATGCTAAAAATATACTATTCGGTCTAATAAAAAATATTCGATAAAGCACATCACTAGAAATTATGAACAATAGTAATCGAGAAATATTCCAACTGCCGAGCTAACAGAATAATATTTTAATTTTTATTCGTCAATATGTATCTTGAAATCTGAATTATTTTCATAATTACACTATAAACTTCATAATAATTATGAAATAAATTAGGCTAATTTCTGTTAAGCGGTTACTTATGTACAGTTAATACAATTTTCATATATTAATCAGAAAATGAAAGGCGTCCACGATTAATCTAGACTAAAGCGAATTTAATGAATGACAAAATTAAAGCCATGTAAAGCATTAAATGATTATTGTAGGTATAATTTACTAACACATGATGTATGCAGTAATCTCTGTTTATATAAAAAGCGAATCACATCTAGTTGGATTTGTTTCATAAATAATGATTTGGTTATTTGTATATTGATCTTTGGTTTAAATTATAAATTATATAATTTTAACAAAAATAAATAATTAACAATATGTGTAATGTAAAGTATATACTTGCTAACTTACCATTTCTTTAAAAATTAACTTAATTGCATAATATTTAAATATTCATAAGATAGTTACTATTGTCAATTATTATAACGCAGTTTTATGAAGAAATGCAATATAATAAGGAAATTGGATTATATTTGAAAATTAATATAATAAGAATCGTAGTTTAATTATAAATTACATAGACTGAAAACATTCCTGACTAATACACCTGTTAAAATGTAATCTTACTATAAACAAATAAGTGCCCTTTAGGCTTTAAATATTTTACGTCACCCATAAAACATTCCATTTTTGAAATTAAATGATTTTGTTCAATTTAGCAGTCATCAGTCAAAAATATTTGTCTTAAGAATTTTAAGTTCAAAACTTTAATTATTTAGCATTATTCTGAGGAAATCTTACATTAAAAGCTTTGAACAGTTATTTTATATTTTGAACTTTCTACATGTTCGTTTGTTTTAGGTACAAAACTCTTTGAATTTCAATAATTGCTAAATAAATTAAATAGTTATCATTAACTTTTTTCAATTATGTATTATAAGTATTTTTTTAAAATAATTAAAAAGTACAATACACCAGTGAATACATAAAAACAATACGTATGTATTAAAGTTTAGGGAAAAGAAATGACTTAACAAATTGATAAAGAAATATTAGTTAATACAAAATATGTACACATACATTTATACTTTGTATCTAATTATTGTAAAATATTTAACACAAACATTTTGGGTACTCTGAGGTTTGTTGTTATTTAAATGCAGCTTTATCTCGACACGGATACTATTGAATTGTTATTGTATGTAACGAACGCACATTTTTTCGAGTTTCTTCAATATATTTTAGTTAATACCATTGTTGGTTACGGAAATAAAGGAGCTGAATGGATAACGGTATTTTTATAATATAATAAGAAAGAAAAGCTGCTCGCATGAATCTACTGTTATCGGTATTTTTCAGCTCGATTGCAACCCCTCCTTTCAATGCCACGTTTGAATATTATAGGATTATTATCTCAAATATATTTGATGAACATTTTTACCATTCCACTCAAATAAAATTTTTTCTATACCATAAACAATATTACACTGGTATTTCATACCAATAAGGCTATGATTAATTAATAAACGAATTATAAATGTTACCATAAATAAAAATTTAAAGAACTCTAACGAATTTAATTAATTTTATGATAAATATTGTATAAATAGTTGTACGTCTAATAACCATATAACACTAGTCGTTAAAATAAATATTTATTTACACTAAATTATCCTGTTATCCTGTTTCATACACAGTAAAACTGATCTAACCGACAACTTTTATAACTTATTTATACAGTTCAAATTTCACTCTAATTTTTGTTTTTAACAATTTTTGTATCCTATGTAAGAGGCTATTTTTTATTATTTGTATTTAATATAAAGACAAAATAATAATTAACTATTTTTGAAAGTTGTTAACATTTTTTTTTTTTGCAAAAATAATTAATGGTCGAAAACAATTTCAGGACAAATAATTATTGAGCTACAAGAATTTAAATACATAAAGTGAGTAAGTCATAAAGTATATGACTTCAAGTATATAACTACATATTTCTCTCACTTTGTGTTCAAATGCTTGTAACTCAATAATCATTTGTGCTTAAGTTGTTATATATATATGAAAAAATCAAAAATTCAATATTTCACGGTAATTATACGTGCCACGGGTATAGTTATTGTTTATATCGTACAGTTGATTTCAATATAAGCATTACAGAAACGAGCAGAATTCGATTTTTAAGTTGGCGACGAATTCGCTGTAATTTTTTAAACGGCAAAGTCAAACATCTACCGATTTATAAAATATTGCTAGGAACTCAGACAAAACAGCAATAGTATTATTGTAAAAACGATGATGACGCCCAGAGTAAGCATAATATTCCTGTTATGGACTTACCCGACAATAAACGACCACCAAAGTAAATCAGAAATGTTTTTAAATTGAAATTTTATGTACATAGAACTGCAAAAAAACATTTATGAATCTTTATATGTTTACAATAAACAATTGTATTATATTATCAAACGATGAGAAAATAAACAGTAATGTGTAATTCTCGAATGAAAGAATAGTTCACGAGTCGCAAGAACAGTTTTACAGTTAGTATTTTATTTTTTTGAATCAATGTCTCTAACTACACAAGTATCTAATAGAAAATAGATGACAAAAGTCAAAATCAGAATCTAAATTGATAAAATAGGCGAAGAATAAATATTAAAAATTAAAAAATTTATCTACAAACTTAGAAATTAATAAGAGCAAAAATGTTATTAATTTTAAAAGTTGAATAAAAAATATATAAGGGTATGTTTACTGGATATTTTCATTGCGTGGAAGAATCTTGGTCATTGGTTTAACTAAATTTTAGATAGAAAATGAATTTTGTTACAAAATAATATATTATAAATACTTTATCGTTTAATCGCATATAATTTATATTCATAATCTTTATAATCTTTAATGAATGCTGGAAGCTTATTTTTAAATTTTTTTGATTTTTATATAACCTAATTATTATATTTTTAGCAATAACCTGTGGTATATTGTTCTAAAGTTTAACGATATTTATCAATAATTTAATTAAATTTGAGTAGAACTTAGTTTTGCAAAAAAAAAACATAATTTTACTACGAGAAGTGGAAAATGAACTATTCTGATGTACGAAATGTCTGTCAAATACATCTGCTTGTTTGAAACAATTCAAAATTTTGTTATTTTACACACTTCTTAAAAAAATTTATTGTTTACTGCAAATATGTCATAGAAACGTGTCCATCGAAATAATAATCATTATACTATTTAAACGACACAAAAAAACATAAATATAAGCTAATTACAAAATATAATTGCCATGCATTTCGGTGATATTACTAAACGTTTATTTAGTTTGTAAATTTATAGTCAATTATAAGCAAACTTGTGACTTAATTAATAAAGTTTTACGTTGATTTTATTATAGAAAACGTTTATTTAATCTTTAGAAATAATCGAGTATATTTTTTTAATTGCATAATTAATTTCGAAATACTTTTTAGCTTTATCTTTTAAATAGAAATAAAATTAAGTAGCACTGACTTAAAGTACCTTGACTTTATATAAATGTCAAAAGGAAATTTGGAGGTTTTTTAACTAGCACGAATAAAAAATATTTATGAAAGTCTTTAGGATTTGAGTGTGTACTCTTACTGTATTACATTATTCGTATATACCGGTTCTTTTTATATATTTTAATTATTGCATTTTCATCTCTCATATTGTTGGACAGTATATTTTTTGACTTTACGTACTACTATAAAAAATCATCTTTGAAA